TCAATAGTAATCCTAACAAAAACTGTGGTACCCACGAAACTCAATTCCTCCTCATTTAAGATGTTTTTTGACATTGCTATTCGAATGTTCAATGTTAGGTATTAAAAATTTAATAAATTTTGTTTTATTGCCGTTTAAGAGCAAGTTGTTGGCGTTAAACTATTGTACTAATTTCAATAGAGCATGATCTAAATCGTCATTATTAACTAACTGCCGTTTGAGTTTGAAAACTAAAGGGATATCATCAGCAAATAATACTGTATTGTGTTTGTCCCTACAAGGTAACGTAAGTCATTAATATAGATTAAAAACAGGAATGGGACAAGAATCGAACCCTGAGGAACGCCCATTATACGTGGTAGAGTAGATCAGTAGTAGTGAGTGTGTAGTAGAGTGGTAGAGCCACGCTGCAGCCATATTATAGTTGGTGCACAAATAAGTCGGCTCGACCGGGGAAGGACCTTGCCCTCACAGAATATCAACGTAAAATATCAGCTTGATACTGCTGTGTTCCGTATGTGTAGAGATCCGAAGACCCTTTTTTACTGGTTACGAGGCATTCCATCTTAGTCCTAAGGGTTGACAACGCACTTTTTTTATAGAAGAGGGGGCAAACGAGCATGCGGCTCACCTGATGTTAAGTGATTACCGCCGCCCATGATCAACCGCAACACCAGGGGAATTGCAGGTGCGTTGCCGGCCCTTTAGAAAGGAGTAAGCTCTTTTCTTGAAGGTCCCCAGGTCGTATCGGTCCGGAAAAATCGCCGTAAACTATTCCACAGAAAGGTTGTACGCGGAAGAAAACTCCTTTTGAAACGTACAGTGGTGGACCGCCAAGCATCCAGATGGTGGGGATGGATTCGGGACGTTTGCCGCGTAGTGCGTTCACGAAATTTGGCGGCTGGGATTAATCCGAACAATTCCTCAGAGCACTCTCCATGGTATATGCGAAAGAAAATGCAAAGAGATGCAACATCTCTTCGCAATGCCAGTGAATCGAGCCGATCGGAAAGCACTCGGTCGTCGACGATTCGAGCCGCTCTGCGCTGGATGCGGTCAAGTGGAAGGAGCTGGTACTGGGGAGCCCCAGCCCAGAGATGGGAACGTATTCCATGTGCGGCCGAAACTGCGCCTTGTAAAGTTGCAGACGGTGTGCCGGCATGAAATACTGTCCCGCTCTGCTGAGCACGCCAAGCTTTTTAGAGGCCAATTTGGCCTTCCCTTCCAAGTGACCACGAAACTGCACGTCACTCGATATGTCGACGCCGAGGATTCCAATACTGGCTGAGGCTACAAGGGGAGTGCCTTGAAACTGAGGGGATACGACAAAGGGGTTCTTTTTAGCGGTTAACGCGCAAACTTGTGTCTTCTGGGTGTTAAACTGGACTAGATTTAGTCGCCCCCAATCCGAGACTCTGTTCAGCAAAGACTCGACTTCAGACACAAGTTTATTCCGGCACTCGGAGACGTTTTCCCGAGAAATATTGGCTCGATCGGTGTAAAGAGCATCACCAGTGCTGTCATCTGCATAGCAATGAATGTTACGGGTTTGCAACATATCATTGATATGCAGAAGAAACAGCGTTGGCGATAGCACGCAGCCCTGTGGAACACCAGCATTAATAGGCTTGCAATCGGAGCTTGCACCGTCAAGAATGACCTTGATGCTCCGATCTGCAAGAAAGCTGGTGATCCAATCGCACAATTTCTCGGGAAGCCCATAAAGAAGGGAGCTTCGAAAGAAGCGCTTTGTGCCAAACCCGATCGAAGGCCTTCGCAATGTCCAAACTAACGGCCAATGCCTCCCCCTTGTACTCTACTGCCTCCGCCCACCTGTGAGTAAGGTAGACCAGAAGATCACCAGCTGACCGACCACTTGGCGGTCACTAATCAGCTGGTGATCCTCAAGGTACCTCATGACCTGGCAGCTTACAATGGACTCCATTGTTTTGGAGAACAAGGAGGTGATGGCGATAGGCCGGTAGTTGGACGGGTCTGAGCGGTCGCCTTTTTTAGGGATCGGGTGGACGAAAGCCGTCTTCCATGATTTTGGGACTACGCCTAGGGAGAAGGAAAAGACACGTTAAAACCGGTGCCAACTCTGGAGCACACGTCCTCAGCACAATTGGGGGGATTCCGTCAGGCCCACTCGACTTGTGGATGTCCAGGGAGAGGAGTGCTTTGCGAACCGAGCGCTGTGTGAACTACACTTCCGGCATGGAGCACTCACACCACGGGATGGTCGGCGGCGTACTCCCCCGTCATCGAGAGTCGAGTTAGACGCAAAGAAAGAGCCTAGAAGATCGGCTTTCTCCTTTGCGGTATGGGCCAGTGAGTGGTCCTCCCTGTGCAGAGATGGAAGAGATGGCTGACAGAAATTCCCCTGGACAGCGTTGGCGAGAGACCAGAATGCACGGGTTCCAGAAGGAAGGCGAACTAGTTTCTCGCCAATTCTGCCTATGTGCTCTGACTTTGCCTTGGCAATGACTCTTTTGAAGGACCTAGAGGCGGAATTACACTTCTTTTTTAGAGCGCTGGTATTTACACCCCGGGACGCTGATACGTCAGCCCCCGGCCTGGTAGCACTCCTGCTTATAGCATGATGCTATTTTACACGAGCGACCAAACCATGGCTGAGATTTACCTCCAATGGGCACCACAGAGGAAGGAATAAAAAGTTCCATACCCTGAAGTACCAAATCAGCGACAGAATCCGCAACAACGTTGGGATCGTCCGGCGAGAAGCAAACCCGCCCCCCAAGGGTAGGATGCAAAGAAAGACCGCATCCCATCCCAATCGGCTGACCTATAGTGCCAAACACGGCGGCAGCCTGCATAATGCAACCGCGATTTCAGCGTGAGTGGCACCACACTCCGGACAAGACAATGGTCCGAGGAGCCTAAAGGGGCGTCGACGGAAATCTGATATCCGTCCGGGTGAGAGGTCAGCAGAAGGTCCAACAGGGAAGGTGCATGATCCTCCACATCTGGAATCCGCGTAGGCGAAGTAACCAGTTGTGTCAGACTATATGCCAAGGCAAAATCATGAACAGATCTTACCGCATGATCTGTTAAACGTGAACCAAGCCATTCGGCGTGATGGGCGTTAAAGTCGCCGACGATCACGATCTCTGCGGAGGGGATCTGCTGTAGCAACGAATCTGCAGCCATTTGGACGTGGTCGAAGAGTCGGTCTGTTTCGGCATTACCGCTATGGGACCTATAAAGGCACCCGTAGACACGCGGATGATCGTCGCTGTCTACGCGTAGCCAAGAGATGGACAGGTCCGAACCTTCAAGTCTACCGAGACGTCGAGAACAGATGTCCTCTCTGACATAAACGCAAACTCCAGCCCGAGGCACAAAGGAGTGTTCCAGTTTGTACCCCGGGTAGGATAGATACGAAACATCAGCCGGAGAGGACACCTGCGTCTCGGTCAGAAAGAGCAGAGCCGGCCTCGTCGTCTCGAGATGGTAGTGGACGGCGTTTAGGTTAGAGTGAAGTCCCCTGATATTGCAGAAATTCACGGACAGCGTGGCAGGGGTCGCCTTGGTCTTGTTGCTCCGTTTGCCCCGAGCAGTTGTAGTCTTGAGCGGAATTTTGCCCCCCCCCCCCCCAGAATACTCGGGGCAGCCTGAGCACCCACCCTCAGAAGTGGAGAAACATGGTCGTGGATGCTCAGCGAGGGATTCTCCAGGGGTGCTGGCACCCTCCTGGGGTAGTCTATCATTTAATTCCGCTACCATGTTGATAGGGGGAGGGGGGATTTGGGCCTCCGGCCACCTGCACTCACCAGACGAAACGCGAAAGCAGAGCTTCCACTTCACGCCGGTATTCTGTGAGGTCGTGGTACCACCCTGGTTTGAGCCGGCCCATACGTGCAACAGCAAAGCTGCCGCGTGGCTCTTTCACTATTAAAACCTGCGTTTTGATTGTTAATCGGGGTTAAATGTAGATGTCTATGGGCCACCGCATCCACTTACCATCAGGTAGACTGTGTGCTCGTTTGTCACCCTTGTTCTTTAAAAAAAATATTATCGATCTGGAGGAATCTTTACCATTGATAATATTATGTTATGTGGCATTCCAAGAGGGAGCCTTATGTTCAGCGTTGGAGTTATAAAGGGCTGTTAGAATGATGATGATGATGAAATCTGAGACTTAAGTACATTATACTGCAGTGTTTAGTAATACTCAAACAAAACCCACTCGTTCCCACTCAAAGAAATATCCGTTTACTTTTTAAACGAGCTTACTACGGGCTCTTTGGAAATTTATTAACTTTCCATTTAAAAGTTGTTGTGATGGGTAAAATATTTGAAAGTTGGCTTTGTTCTCAAACGTAGCCAAACCCGAAAATCAGCGTTTGATTTTTTACACCGACTTTTCACCAACTGCTGGGTCTCTGCTGAGCATGACCCAGGAGCTGCCTTACCTGCGTCATATTAACTAGGTATTCAAGGGCATTGTGGCCACTCTCAATAAAAAAAACTGCTGTAATTATGAATATAACATGTGAATATATTTATATTATGACTGTTTTCATACTAATTCTTATATTTAGACTGTTTGGTTATACCATAGTGAATTAAAAAAAAACATTAAATGGCAGTTTTATTTTTAAAATTATAATTTGTAATTCGAAAGCAAAATAGGTTACGTGATGATACCTAATAAGTTATAATTATGTATGTAAATTTCAAAAACCATGCAAATTCCCTAAGTGTTCAATTTTGTTACATTAAAACGAAACGGAATAGCAGGTTCAAGTTATGCACTTTATACTGTTCATTTATAAGTTGAAGTAATTATATAAAATGGTCTATCTATTTAGATAGACCTTTAATATACAGGTATTTATTCAGGTCGATAAAAATGTTCTTTATTAACTGATACCTGGATCTAGAGTTATTAGTGAAAGTAATTTACCCACTGTATTTTTTATTGATGAAAAATCGAGATAAGTACAGCTATAACGAACAATTTCTATATTACTTACCGTACAAATATCGAACAACGAATGCAACCCGATTATCCCATGAAGAAGCCATTGAAGCACCGACACAAATTATCCGATTTTCGATATTTAATCAGGAGATGAATGAGACGGGCGGCGAAAACGCGGCAGCGTTCACGCGGATTTACGGTTGACTGTGGGCTCTCTTGGAAATCGATCGATGTATTTTTGTCTATTTCTAAGATCACACAAATATCATTTAGACATGTATTTTAATTAGAAGTCAAACATTACTAATCCAGATATAAAAAGTAAATAAATAGTTAAAAATATATATATATATATATATAATTATGTCTATCTATCCAATAGATTTTAATGATTCTAGTCGGTAGTCTTGATTAAAAGAAAATTAAAATTAAATGCGGAAACGTAGGTATTAATTATAAATGTAAAGTCAGTTTTATTTTTATAGATAGCTATAATTGCTTTAAGCCAGTTCGCAAATTTTCCAATTTTATTATTATAATATTACATATTTACCTGATCGTTGAGGCTAAAAAGGGAAACTGAAACAGGAGATGAGCATGATGAGATGATGATGATATGAGCCTCCTGTTATCAAATCAAAATAATAAAAAACTGCGGTTGCCAATCCAACTGCCAAGCGAGGTAATTATCAAATTCAATTAGCAAAATCTCCCCTACGAAGCAATATTAGGGAGTTCAGCAGTAGACTTTTGTATAGGTAATCAATTTGTATCTAGCAATGTGTGTGTCTAAAAATGAATTATTCAGACTAAAATGCCATTAGTATTCTAATTATATATAAAATACTAATTATTTAAATATTTTAATTTATTTGCGTACGCTGTTTGTTTCGAGATTTTCTATTTTCATCTCTAAATCACCCGCGCGGCTCCGCCCCTGACACGAAATAAAACAACAATATAGTAGTGAAGCGCATTCGCGGGCTATGTCGTTTAACGACACGCGTTTAAATATATCTTCTCGACGTAGCATCCATTTCGGTCTATTTTGTGGTCCGATTAAATGTAAGGGATGCCCTGGGGCTTCATCACCGCTTACCACCAGGCATATAAATATTCAATATTCTCTTTTGCATCATTTATTATATTTAAACAGGCCTTTAATAACAGTGCTGGGGAGAGAATGAACCCTGAAAAACTATTTATTACATTAGACACAATAGCAATAGGCACGGACTAGTAGCCTTTAACAACGACCCTAAAACCCGTTCATTTAAAAGTCCTCCACCTATCCGATACCTAGCCAGCGTGCCAGACAATTTATAATTTTGAACTCGAATAGGTATTCATTGTTACTTACACTTGCAAGGTTGCAGCGTTAGAGAATGTTTGAGTAAAATGCCGCGCTAGTCCTTGTTTGTACGGTTTTTAGGGGCTATCTACTTGTTATTAAGAAGATATATTGACTAATAAAAAATACGTTAAATTTCTATATAATCTTGATTTCATAAGGACCACTTCAATTTTTTTAAAGGAGTAAATATTTGATTAATCTCCCTACAACGAAACCACAGAAAGCGACATAATTATTGATAACATGCGTCTCCTCGTAAAGTAAACATTATTAATTTTTTTTACGATTGACACTAATGGATAGGCAATTTATTAATGAATATTTTGCTCAAGTTCATTTTAGGTGACCATGAAAATGCGAGAAAAATTAATCACTTTAGATAAATAACGGTATCACTTTCAGACGTAAAATACCCAAACCAGCGGCGTTTAAAGGTATGAGACGTCTGGCGATTTACAATATTCTTGCCAAGTAACCGATTAAGGCAAATTCTCCCTAGAATATAAGATGCCCATGCAGAGATATTTTTAATTGTTTATTTTAATGTTTAATTGTTTATTTTAATGAACACCGGAGTACGCTAGCTAGGTATACGAGAACCAAAAAGTACTCTGTAAGTATAACGCGAGACCCGAACGAGTGACGGAACCCTGCCGTAAGCACGCTCACTCACGGTCAGTTTGGCTTTGGCGTGAAGTAAATGAATTAATGAACTGAAACCAGCGAATTACGGTGCACCCGGAAAAATCCGTGGGAATGGACGCATCTTGAAGGTCTTATGATGACCAGATAAGTGCTTATCGGTTTTCAGTAGCGAAAATAGTTAGAATGGCCTAGCTTTCTACGTTTATCTGATTGAGCACGCTATATGTTATATTCTGAAATAAAGTTCAAATACCCAAGCGTTGGAAATTTAAATAGTAAGAAAAAAAAATTAAGTTAAACGCAATAAAATTTTAAAAATTTGTTTTATAAAATGTCTACTATTCGTGCAATAAAATACTCAATAGTACAACATTGAGTCTGTCAATAAATTTATTATTGCTAATTTTGTATTGGCCCAAAAGTGGTACCAATGTTTAAATACTTGGTTAAAATAAGTATTGGGTGTATATTTTTAACAATATTTATGAATACTTTATCGATATGTAGATTTAATGTTCCAAGCACAAATCACATCAGAATGACAGCTGTCATTCTAATCAAGCTATATACAACATGTAACATAATTAACGCACTTTGAGAAAGTAGTTTGTTCAGAATCGTTTACTGAATCGATTCCTATCAGTTTTAATATAGGTAATTTTTTATCCCAAAAATAATTGAAACTAAGTAAATTACAGTCACACTAAATCTGTACAAACTGAAATGGACCCTAACTTAAGGCAATAAGACTTTTAAGAGTGCAGTTTTATATGTATTATTACTAATTCTACATTCAATAAAAATAAAGAAAAATGAACTTTATTTCAAGCATGTTAAAGTCTTTGCGTTCGTGGATTTGTACTGCGACCACAACATTCTTCCGGAATTAGTAATAACTAATTTGATAAATAATGAGAGCATAAAAATGTTTAACTAAAAATTCTGCTAATACTACTAATAAACTGGGGTGTCTGAGGGTGTGCGTTAATTACGTTGCATATTGTATATCTAAAGAACTATAGGAGCTAATTTAGTGCTGCAAGTATAAGGGCAATGACAAGGCGGCCCTAATAAAAATAAAGTCGTTACAAAATAGCAGGTTCATAAAGCAGGTACAAAAATCAGATCTTCTAAAAATCAGAATGGAATCAAAATCAGTTATAGAATTAATTTGATAATTAAGTGCTTTCAAAAACACAACAGACTTTTTTACGCAGGAATTAACACAGTTACTTCTGCAACGGCTGCGGCGCTACGAAAAGCGCAACCCCTTCGCCTTGCGTAGCAAATCACATGCACCCACGCTCACCTCCACAGCTTCGGCTTATTGGTCGCTTCGGCCACCAGCCTCGGCTGCTACGGCTCGCACAGATACCTGCGATTTGCTAAAGCGGGCGGCGGCTGCTCTGCTTCTGCGCCTACTGCTTTACAAAAACTACAGAAACCGTAATAATAAAATAATAGAAATGGCATAGACGCGTGACATTGTCGCCGCTATGATGTGTTGACGAACATCATTCACCATTTTGTGATTGAATTGCGCGAGGAACGTACGTTAGTGAATTTATGTTTTTACTAGCTTTTTACCCGCGGCTTCGCTCGCGTAGGATGTAAATTTAAAAACATCGATAAAACTATTTCGTACTAAAATTAGCAAAACTGGATCACTTGTAGAGAAACGTCGGTATCTGTGTCTATATTGACAATATTATAAGCAACAGAAACACACAAGTTAGTTTATCAGAATCGCATAAATATCCTACGTCAAGCAACACCTTTTCTATATCGGGCACGTCTTCCCATGTGTCTTTATGAAGGGAAAATTGTCCTGGAATCAGAAATGCGCTTTTTATATAATATGCATTATTAAAGTTGGTCATTAAAGTCGGTTGGTCATGGTCTTTGTTAATATTGTTCCCATTGAATATTGATTAGCACCACATTCCAGTATTTTTTACGTTCGAGTAGACTTCAAAATTTCATAAATTTAGTTCTGTTCACGGTGAACGTGTGAGAAGAACTAAATTCATGAACAGGAGTAGAAATCTACATGAGATGAAGCAGCGTCTTCCTGATTATAGCTCAAAATAATAAAAATATGCAGTTGGCAACTATGACAAATATTCAACTTATTTGGCAGTCTTTGGAGGAAATCCAATTGATGAACGGGAGTAGAAATAATATATTAGCCATGTGGAGGTGACGAAAAAGAAACCATTACCCCATTTCATCCCGTGGGTGTCTTAAGAGGCGACAGAGGGAAACTGAAACATGAGATGGGTGGCATCTTGATAACAGCTCAAAGTAATGAAGAGCTGCGGTTGTCAACCCGCTTGCCAAGCTTGAATTATACTGCAAATATCCGCTCTATTTGACGAACAATGGGGGAAGCCTATGATCAGCAGTGAATAGCCCTATTAAAAGTAAAAAAGTAGCAGCCTAAATACATCCCACTAATGGGCACAGGCCACAGCTAGTTTTAAGTAAAAAAGTAAAAGTCTCATGAAAAGTAAAAAGGCTGTGTTAACAGTATCACGTACTATTCCATCAATTATGGATAAAATATCACAGTGAATTTAATTTTCAATTACCTAAATCGAACTTGATACAAAAAAAATTGGTAAAATATTGCTATGCCGATAGACACACAACATATTTAACTAAAGACCATCTTTCTTAATCAAAGTTTTGTGTACACAGTTTTGTTAGTAATTTTGCTAATCAATCAGCGCTGCTAGCGGTGAGTAAAATTTGTATTTTAAGATATAACAATAACATCTAGAAATAACAATATCGTGTTAAGTTGTTAATATCGCTTAAGAGCCCATCGAGCAAAATACTTCAAAACGATAGTCACTGTTAAGTGAAATTATCCTTTATGGTTACAATAATTAATATAAAAATTATTTATTAAACATCACTAATAAATATTTTTACCTTTATTCTGAAGCAAAAAAAATATCTTTAGTTTCTGTTTTAAAAATTCATAAAGTTAGACAAAATCCTAAAAATGGTATGTTGCCGTTTAGTTAATTTTTTATCGAAATTATAAAATTCAATTATTTCAAAACATTAATCGTCCTTTTTACTTTTTTTAAATTTGGC